GAACCTTGAACCTTGAACCTTGAACCTTGAACCTTGTCATCTGAGATGACGCTAACAAAAGATCGACAATGGTTTGTTGAACAATGAAAATAAAATTTGTTTTTATGGTAGATTACTATAAATGACAATGAAACAAATGATTAAGTTCTCTGCATCTGAATGCCATCCATCCGTCATCTTCTTCCGCTAATCAAGGGCCAGGTCGCGGAGGAGACCTCCCTCTCCCCGGCCACTTCCCAGGCCAACCAAGAGATATAATCTCTCTAGCGTGTCCTGGGTCTGCGTCCCTGACCCGGAGTGGGTACTCCACCCTTTTCCGGCTGAGGACCATAGCCTCAGATTTGGAGGTGCTGATTCTCATTCCCACCGATTCACACTCAGCTGCGGATCGTTCCAAGGCGAGCTGGAGGCCATCACCCGAAGAGAACCACATCATCCGTGAACAGCAAAGATTAGATCCTGAGACCACCCAAGTGAAAGCCTTCTGCCACTTAGCTACGCCTAGAAATCTTTTATATAAAAATAATGAACAGAATCTGTGACAAAGGGCAGCCCTGGCGGAGTCTATCATCCACTGGAAATGAGTCAGACTTATTGCTGGCTATGTGCCCCGAGCTCTTGCAAGGGTTGTATAAGGACTGAATGGCCTGTAGCAATGGATCAGACACCCCATAATCCTGAAGCACCTCCCACAGGATACCCCAAGGGACATGACTGAATGCCTTCTCCAGGTCCACAAAACACATGTAGACTGGTTGGGCAAACTCCCATGCACCCTCAAGTATCCTTGAGAGGGTAAAGAGTTGGTCCAGTGTTCCACAACCAGGATGAAAGCACATTGTTCCTCCTGTTTCCGAGGTTTGACTAATGGTTGGACTTGCCTTTCCAGCACCCGGGCACAGACTTTCCCAGGGAGAGGAGTGTGCTCCCCCTATAGTAGGAACACACCCCCCTTCTTAAAGATGGGAAGCACCCCCGTGGTGCCAATCAAGAGTTACTGCCCCGATCTCCACGCAACATTGTAGAGGCGTGTCAGCCAATAGAGCCCTACAACATCCAGATCCTTCAGGAACTCAGGCCGAACCTCATCTACCCCAGGGGCCCTGCCACCAAGGAGTTGTTTAACTGCCTCAGTGACCTCAGCCCCAGAGAGAGATGAGTCGTTCCCAGTCTCTGCTTCATCCACGGAAGACCTGCCAGTGGCATTAAGGAGGACCTAGAAGTATTCCTTCCACCACATGACAATGTTCTCAGTCGAAGTCAGCAGCACTCCACCTGCACTGTACACATTGCAGGTAGAGCACCACTTTCTCTCCTGAGTCGCCTGACAGGAGGCCAAAATCCTGAAGGGACCCCTTCTTCCGCATAGTGGCTCCCTTCAACTCTGGTGTCTACCATTTGGACACATGATAAGGGTCTGCGCAGATATCTGTGTGACTGCCTCTTTGTGACCATATAGACTTGTTCATATTGAATTTACATTACAATGCACCAATTCCTCATGAGCTCCAGACAGTGGACTTCAACTGGACTTCAAAGACATATAGTAAGAATGATTACTTGACTTTTAGGTCTCCAGATGCCCACTTCAGCAAATGAGTATGACCTAAGTATAACAAATTTATTAATCCTTTGAAAACCAAGATCCTAATAACTTACTATCAATACTGAGTGTGCTTGTTGCAGAGCTGAAGCCATAATCTGTGTTTACTTGACACAGGTAACGACCCGAGTCATCCACGCTGAGTCTGGACAGTTGAAGTCTGATTCGCCCTTCTCTGAGGGCGTCTTTGTCACTCTGGACTCGTCCTGAAAACTTTTCATCCTGAGACTCTGACAACTCAACACCTTCATGAACATGATACAGGACTGAGACTTCGTGACCAGTTATCAGGTAACAGAGGATGTTAAGCATTTTGGTGGATCTGTCAGGTTTGGTGGTGAACGTCCACTCCAGTGTGATGTTGTGGTTCTCCTCTGCCTGATAGCAGGTCTGTGTCACATTGACTACAAATGATCCTGTTGAGGAGACAGAGAGGGAAAGAGAGGAGCAGACACACTGAGAACTAGAACAAATCTGTTGTTGAGCTTTATTTGGAGTTCATAAAGTGAAGCTGTAAACTAACCAAAGACACATGAAGTGAGGATGATGAGCAGCAGGATCCTGCAGATCATCTTCTCCCTGTGAGAGGAGACAGGGGTGAAGAGTCATCAACACAGTCAGTACAGCTACAAGAAGATCATCAGCAATAATTATAGAATTGAAAAAAACGAATGGTCTTTTGTATTAAAAATACAAATGTCATTCTGATGTGTGTTGGCATGCTGCAAACGGAACAGGGTCGCATGAAGTGCAATTGAGGGAAACCAGTAGCTGTTCAGATCAGTGGGGATGCAGGCCTTGATGAGAGTTAGAACAAACCTCTGATGCACTTCATAATTGGATATCTGCCTTGTGGTGGCAGGTATCAATTAAGGCATGTGGGGATGACAGGGGAATGTTAAAGATGTCAGCACAAGATTTCAGGTCTCTCTTATCATTACTGTAAGCCAGCCTGTCCCCCACCTGTTGACATCATCCTGTGCTCTGAGCAGAGAGCAAACATTTCCATCACAATTTTTGGTTTGGGAACACCTTGAGGGTGTCGGTGGTTAAAAAGTGTCCATAGAGAAAATGATATAAGCCCGAACTGCAGAGCCATATTAATCTAAATCTATACTCTATGGAAACAGCTCCAAATCTGTGTTTTTGAAGTATTCTCACTCCAGTAAAATGGATTCTGACTTGGATGGTTTTTACAGCTGGTCATGCTCTGTAGATCATTTTGTATGTGAACATTAAGGAAGGGAGGAGAGAGAAAAATAATGTGTATAAAAATTGCATTCAGACTTCATAAGTTGTTCTTCCAGTAGTTTCCTGCAATCGGTAAAGACCATCATCAGAAGATCCAGCCTTGGGAGTTCACATTTGGAAATTACAGCAAGAAACACCAGAGAATTAATTTGGATGAACATGTTGGACTTACAAATTTGATTTATACTTTTTTTTTTTCTGTGCTTGTTTTTGCAATGTTGGATTGTAACATTCAAGGATTTGGCTCCCTTCCTGTAGGATTACATCAACACAGAACCGAGATAAGTGACTCCCTGCATTGGGGGTGTCTAGTGTAATTCTTACATCAGTTTATTATTTTATGTTAATTGAAAATGTGTCATAAAGTTCTTTAAAATAAAAAAAAAGTCAAACTTGGAAGCTTCCTTCCTTTGTGCTATAACTGCAAACTATTTTGTGTGAAAAATAGGTTATCAATCATGAACGAAAAACCTCAAAAACTGGTGAACAGATAAAAATCTGTTGAGAGGAGAACGAGACTTAAAGTTGAGAAGAGCCTTTTTGTCTGTCTTGTTCTCTGTACCCTGCTCTTTAGATGGGATATAGAATCAATCAGAGTTTGTTAAAAAAGTAAAGAGTAGTTCCTTGAGGATGTTTTTATTTTTTGTGCAAAGCCATCTGAACTTTAGTCTAACTGAATCCAAACTTTAGTCTTTTTTAAAGTTCTATTTATACTCAGCTTGAATCTGAAGAAAAAGAAGGAAAGT